ACAGTTATTGTGTTCATTTTTAAATTAATTTTAAGTAATTTCTTATACTTATTGTATAACGCCATGAGATTTCTTTTTGATATGTGTGCTATATAAATTCTGGTTATAATTATTATTATTATTATTATTATTACACCACTTGAGTCTTATTGCCAATAACATGCCAGCTAAACTGACCAATCAGTCTCTGCAAACTGGACTTTTAACACTCTGCTGACAAAACCTATTCACTTGACTCTAAAGATGATTTCTGCTGAGGTTGTCAGTCAACACTGATGTCAACAGTCAACACTGATGGCAACAGTCATCAGTACCACTTTCACCCGCATAGTCTGACTGCACAATTAAATACTACCCCAGGGTTCAAACTACACTATATCAAGAGATGTTTCTGAAATTGAGATTTGGTACTGCAAGTTTCTATAATTGGTTTATAACTGGACAGCTAATAGTAGCATGTGGCCATTAAAGACTTGGCAGTGAGAAGGTGTTCCTGTTTTGGAGTTAGATAATAATCCCCGATAAAGAAAAACTGTTGCCGTTGTTGACAGATGAATAAAAATGCTCATATCCAGAACACACTCTCCAACTTAAAACAGAATTTACATTCAATGTTCATATTAGTGCAGTTGTTGTTGGAGGGGGAAGTACAAAACATAGTCAACTACAGTGTATCCCTTTTTATTTATTCATTTATATATTTATTTTTTTTATTGGTCCACTACATGGGTTGGATTGTATAATGCCACTGCATAAACCAGGCCGATCATTCTGAGGAACTATGCGTTATAATTGTTCTTACCTCACAAAGCCAGTCTCCCCATACCTCCCCTGGAACTTCACAGTTATACATGCGTCATTCTCTTGGCTGCATTTTGTTTCATATTGTTGGTAGGCGCATTCTTTCCAGGAAACACTGCTGACACACCTAAAGCAATTTAACACCTGCCCATGACCTGAAAAAATGGTAAACTTCATATCGGCATTTGTTATTCAGTTGTATTTCTTGTGAAAGTCTTATCTATTTTCTCAATTTTAGTTTATTTGGGTACTTGGAAAAATGAATCTTATGTAACTGTGCAAAGTTGTCTCTTCATTAAATCCTGGCCGCGCGTTTTTGTAATTAAGAAGTTTGATGTAACAGGTTTTGTGTTTGACTCGGCGAGCATTAATAATCAAGATTCATTAAACACTGAAGTCTAAAACATCGAATATATTAGTGAAGGTACGTCAAACTCCACGAACCGTCAAAAAAACTTGGAGTGCTTTAGCAAACCTCGGATAATGAGTTGAGAGCGTAAGGAACCAATTTAAAACGATGTTTTTCCCAAACGTTCTTTTTTGCCTCTTGAAAAACGCAATCCATAGATCGATACTTGATCAAAGAAGGGGGTAAAAGGGGATGGGAGGGAAGGGGGGGGAGGATCCTGTGCACGTCTCACGAACATCGAAAAAATTGAAATAATGCTTATCACGGAAAAAAACGGATATACCACAGTAAGGTTCACGTATCGCGAAAGGCAAATTCACAGTTCAAGAGGTGTTAATTTAGTATTTTCACTGGTCAGGAAAATCATCACGCAATAACCTCTTCCCTCCCCACACTCCATCTGAAAAACAGCAAAGTGAAAACTAAGACTCAGGGAAACGCGGGGAACGGTACGGGAGTGACAGCTGTTACTTTTACATCCTCTCCTCTAGCTAGGTCAAATTCGAAGTCGAAATCTATTTTTAGCAGAGCACGAGCATATGTCCTCTCAGTCTTAAACCTTTTCCGATTTTTAAATCATTTAAGTTTTGGCTTTGAATATGACAGACGTCCGGAAAAATGTTTTCCTTTAACCTGGGGTGAAACTTATCAGTTACAGCTACTCACCGCCAGTACGCAAGGTGGGAAGTAAAAAGATCACCCAAAGCAACTTCATTCTCATTTTACTCAAATCAACATTTGATCTTGTGTGACTGGCATATGTTCTGTTTAAAAGTGGCTTGCAGCAGACGAAATTTCTTAATTATCGGAAAAACTTCTGCAAAATCAAAGAAAGCCATTAAAATGAATGGATCAAGGATTGGCTGTAAGTTATGACGTTTACACATCATACCTGTCTATTATTTCGTTTAACACAAAGAAACCAATTTTCAGTTGCGGTATATTAAAAAGGTGTAAACCGAGGAAGACTATAGGATAAAAAACGCGTGAAACAGGATCACTGAAAACGTACCGTAACTCATTTGCTGTTTCAAAGATTGTCACTGTCAGATGTTATGAGATTTCCAACTATGAACCGTTGACAGCGTTTATTTACCAAACGCGTTCAGTCTGTGGTCTTATAGACAAAGAAATCGATCCCAAAAGCGATAATTACATCTGGCTCGTATACTGAGATAGGAAATACTCAATTAAGTGAGGCTAAACCGAACAACAAATCTGAAGCAAGAGCCAAAGCAACGTAATGTCTCATGGTAAAGACAAAATTCACTGCAAGTTTTTTTTAACTTGTAATCATTTAGAGTTTTTTTCTCAAGCTGCTCGTTTTAGTTGTTTGACGTTTCTTTGAATTTTTTTTTTCTTTGAACCAACCTTTCAGTCTTAATTTGGCAGCTGACTTATTATGAGTGTTTCATGATGCCCAGTTGAGTACTGCATTATATCATGGCATTGCATTCTTTTTGTAAGATGATTCCATAATCTCATTCAATAATCTTGGAACTGACAGTAGACACTGAAGAAAAAAAAGAGCAGGACAGACTTTCTAACCACTTTTTGTCAGTCTACTCAAAAGTTGATCATTAGCGATGGGGACGATGCCTGCTGAGCTTGCAGACATGGATAATTTATGATTCAATACAAACCAAACTGGTTAGTCATTACACATCAACCCTTTCCCTGATTAACTGCGTAGATCAATCGTGCAATTTAATAACCAGATTTAAGCCGAAACAAATTTCCAACGAAATCTCCATTTTCTCGATCAAAATAAATAAAGTGGAAATAGAAACAGGTTTCTCCTTTATCCCTACTATCCCAAAAATTTAGGGAGGAAGGAGAGGGCGCTTATTCAACGAACGCTTGTTTGACATGATGGCCTCGGCAAGGGGTTGGGCGCTACTCAGAGTGTGGGCGCTTAATCGAGGAAATGCAGTACTAAAATTTTTAAGGTTTATGCCATCGCGATTTTGCTTTTGAGATTTTTCGTGACGTATATGACATATATGAAGATTGATTTTTTTAATTCAGATACCTCCCTGGCGAGCAGAGCCTAGCCTGTGTGAGGTTGGTTTGCTAATAGTTGCCCAAAGCCTAAGACGGAGAGGATAGTTTTATGCACACTTAAATGACTTTGAGTTTGTTCTTGAGGCAAAATGCTCTGCTTTGGGAAAGCCCTTTGTCTTAGATTTTTCGTTTAGGCTGTCTTGTATGATTGGCAGCTAGGCTTATGCCTGGCCATAGCTTAGCCTGTGAGGAAAGTCCCTTTAGTGCAGGGTAACAGTGGATTAATTGATCGCAGTATATCCCTTCACAGTTAGTCATCTTTACCCGTTGGTCCACGCATGGTACTAGAATTCTTGCGGTACATCATCCTAACACACGACAAAGAGCACACATCTTTTCATCTGTATTTGTATTCTTCTGTATTTGTCGTCTTTTCTTCTGAATTTGCTCAAGATTAGGTTAGCTAGTCAGTTAAATATGTCAACGTATGTTACTAAATTTTGTAATGCAGCCTTTCAACATTTACATAACATTAGGTGTATTAAGAAGTATTTATCTCGTGATTCTTCTGACACTTATTCATGCATTTATTACCAGTCGCGTAGATTTTTGTAACAGGCTCTTTTATGGCTTACTTGAATCACAGATTTTAAAATTACAACGTATTCAGAATGCAGCAGTAAGACTTGCTATAAACATAGGCAAGCATTCCATGTTACACCAGCGCTTTATGATCTTCACTGGATGCCAGTAGGCGCCTAAATTTATTTTAAGATACTAGTCGTAACTTTTAAGGCAATTCATGGATTACCGCCACTGTATATCAGTGATTCAATTAGTGTTAGACAGAAGTCCTCTCACAATCTTAGATATAATGGCACCTTGTTCCTGGAGTCGCCTAAAGAGAAAGTGCTCTCTTCGCCTGTCGCCAGATCCTTTTATGCCGCTGCACCACGTTAGTGGAATAGCTTGCCCGCTGAATTGTGTGCTATCCCATCATTGACAATTTTTGAACGCAATCTTAATACCTACCCTTTTGATCAGGTTTCTCTTTACCTGGTAACTGTAGGCCTATCTGTGGGCTATTGATATGTCGTTCTAAAGGTCTTAATCAGTGTATCCATTCGTTTCTCTCTCTGGAGGTCTGGTGCTGGGTGTATCAATGGAAATATTACATTGATAGCTCTATCAATAGACTAATTGTACCTAGAGCCTTCTTTTCTTTCGACATATTTGCTCGAGAAGTCACCACCCAACTACTGCAAGCGAACCTCTTAGACTAAAATCACTCACTTATGAAAATATTTAATTGTAAGGCATTGAAATTATTAACTCAGCTGATAAAACCAAATTCTCTCCGAAAACCTCCTCCCCCGCTCCGATGCAGCACTACAGTTTCTTTGGAAACCTACCGCATTATTCATTATTCGTTTTTTTGACGAGCTATGAAGTTGTGGTAAACCCAGCGTTTGAATTATTTATATTTTTGAAAAATCATCATGATTTAAATACTGAAAAACACTCCGTAACGCATTTGATCGAAATAATTGAAATGGCAACCTTAGTTAGGTGGGTGTTTCGACCCCAACCCGAACCTCTTTTTGTATACATGTGTTTCATCTGCTCAAGCGAGCATAAATCTCTGATCTCTCGATCTTTAAAATCGAGGGGAGAAACACTAAAACCTACCGACCTTAAAACAAAAGCGACCAGTAGCAAATCACAGACACTTTTCTTACTTTCCCCATAGGGGTCAGGTAACTGTAAATACCTCAAGTTTATTTTGTGGTCAGTAAATTGGCAGTGTGTGTTTAAATCGCCGTGCTGTCGATCAAAACTTTATTTTTAATTACAGATTCAAAGTACTGGGTCAAATCATATATTGACAACATGACTGCTTTCGGATTTCGCCATAAATCTGTAGGATTACTGTGTCTTAGTTTCTTGTGTAAAGGTAAGAACCCAAACTTACTCTCTCTTAAGCAACCGAAAAAAGCGAAGTTAAGCTAAAGCTAAATATCATCACGAATTCTCTAAGAAATTGGATAAATTGTTCGACCATAATTTAAACTGAAAAATAAACCTTCAATCATTATATGTGCGGCGAGAAATGTACGTAGTGATCTGGGAGCGTTTGGACAGATACCAAAATAAGTACAAGTCAGTACGTTTGTAGATCGAAAGCAGTGGTCACAGCCGAGATTTCTCTGCCTGTGTGGCAAGAGTTCGTTGGAAGAGCCCCTCTCTCACTATAAAAAAATGTTTCTGCAGATGACAAACTTTAATATGATTGGTGGTTTTTTCGAATTTTGACAGTCTTGCTTTAATTTCAAGCCGGATGAAGTATTTGTGTAATTGTTGTGAGTGAGGTCATCATGCCAGAACGAAAAAACCATTTTAGAGACTCATCAAGATAAAACAAGACAAGCATGCTTTTGTAGCTTTCTGTTCTAAGTTCTGTATCAATAATTAAGGTTAAACAGACGGTACTGACCGAACACTATTCATATCGGCCTTACTTTGGAAATTCAAACAGTAAGAACTTCAAACCCGTAATATGAAACAAAGGACATAGTGGGCCGGTTAGTCTATATACTTCGCATAACGACTGAATTGGTCCCTTTTATGGACTTTTATTTGCAGCTGTGTTCTCGCTGGATTGTTTCGTTTGTTCAAGTGATGATTCTTTTGAAGAGTGTGACAAAGCACGAACCAAGGAAATTTGTCAACCAAGAACTACGTGCGGCAAACTATCCTTTCAACTGTCGGATAACCACAGATACAGGAGAGGTTGTTTATCTGTCATATACTGTACTGATCCCAGCCGCTACTGTCAAAACATTGTTGACGCATCAGAATGTGTCACTGCTTGCTGCTCCAAACACCTGTGTAACGCTGCACCTGCCCAAGAAATGTCACGCGATGGCTTTCTGTGGTGGAGTCTAATGGTAACATCTATGGGACTTATTAACATTTGTTAAATTCGAACTGTAGCCAGCAAATCTAGAATCGTGTGACGTATCCCCTGCATCAGTTTGTATGTGTCAAATTTTTCATGTGATGAACTCTTGTTTTCATGGCGATGACGATTTATATTTTTTGACTCAAGAGCACTCAGCGAGAAGGTGGAATAAAACCCGGGCCGTATATGCTTACGTTTATGCTGCCTCCCAAAGGGATGGAGGGACGGCACTGCTACATCAATGGGTGATTGTTAGTGCCCCAGCTCAAA